TTGCTTTGTGAATACAAATATTGTTGAGCGGTGCATTCGTCAGTTGCTCCAGTTGAATGTCTCCGAGCTGATATTCGTTCAACTGAATGCGAGCAAGTGTCCGATTTGCTTTCGAACTATTTATTATTAATCCGATATCTTGCTTATCCAATATAAGTGGCGAAATAATCAGATCAATAAGAGTCGTATTTTCATCTAAGACGTCCGTAATCAATGGACCCATGCTGACTTCAGTTTTATTGTTTTCTTCGCTGGTGCGATGATAAGTCGCGATGTTAAACTGTAGAATCGTCTGATTTGATGCTAGGCTCTTGAGGATTAGTTGGATACCAATACGGGACAACTTGTTATGCGCAAGGGAAAGTCGAGTAAGGCGACATGCTTCAATGGTTTGACAAATTACGGAACTGCTTTTATCTGTTAGATTGTTCCAATCCAGGCGAAGATCCTTCAAAATTTCCGGCGTTGACTGACAGAGGTTATTTCCAATTATCGTCATACATTCATCATCCAAATCCGTCCATGAAAGATCAAGATGTGTCAGTGTTGAACTCTTACAAAGCAGTGTGCTCAATTCAGTCACGATCGTTTTGGAGAATTCGACATCATCTCGAAAGAAGTTTCGTTCAAATTCGAGTTTTCTCAATCCTTCTTTAGCTTTTAACTTAATAAATAATTTCTTAATTTCCTCTTCAGACATTCTTAGTTTTGATAAACGAAGGGAAGATAGACAACGAATAGAATCTAAGCATTCAATAAATTCTTTAACCCCACTTTGGTTGTCAAAATACTTTAATTCATATTTCACATCTTTTAGTAGACCGTTTTGAATCAACTGCAACGGAGAAGAGCTGTCAATATAGATCTTCTTAGATGGTTTGTGAGAAAGAGCGGTGATCAGCTCTTGGTTCGAACAAAGCGAAGTATGTGTGTCGACTAAATGCAATCCGTAGTAGCATAATCCGTTTTTCAAACATCGAATTAAATCAGTCGTTTTACGCTCATCTACATATAAAAGTCCTTGTCGCTTGTCGAAATCGATACCATTGATATACAGTTGCTTGATCAGGTGCAGCTGCGATTTCGGATAATGTTTGTTGCATACCCAACGAATAGAGCTATCATCGTGGATAGATCGATACAAATCAGTAATAGCTCTGTCATTCGGAAGAGCCAAATAAGTTAATAATTCTGCGGTATTAGCTTCACAATAACTTCCTTCTCTTAAATTATTCAAAACTTTTTCCACCTTTTCTAAACCATTTTTATAATTCTGCCAGAATGTAACATCACGATTTTCGTTATTCTGCCTTTCAAGAATATATTTAGCAAGTGATATCATAAATTTATTCAGGTATTCTCTGTATTTTCCAAAGAAATTACGAGGATTAGGAACATAATAACCGGGATAAGCAGAGAAATGGATTTCTTCATTTGAGCATTCACAGATAATATGTAACAAATACTTATTTGCCCATAAATCCTCATCATTCCAAGCCCAGACATGGTCAGGGAGAATAACAAATAGTTTAGGTATGTCATCATTATTCGCATTTACCTTGTACACATCGTCTAATATTTGATCGAATGATGCATTAATCACGCTTTCACTAGAGTGGGAACATGGTTCTGAACAAGAAGCCACTTCGAGTTCAAGCACTTGCTTTGATATCAGTGATTCATTTTGCTGTGTATTCTGTATGGCGTTGCTCAATGTCTTAGGCAAACTTGTATTAGCTTCGTCTGCAAGCATTGGAGTCTCCAATGTTGGACAGCCCAAACTATTCCAGAGCTTCCTCGTTTTCTTGATACAAATCATGAATTTTTGGTAACCTTGCATTTCTTTCTCAATAGAAACCAAACGGTCTTCGATTGACGTAGGCAGAACATTGAGATAATTTCTCCGTTGCTGTTCATCATCGAACTCAGGCAATGGTGAAATATCAACTCCAATTATTTCGTGTCTTGCCCGGCGAATCATATCGTCGCAATATTTTCTCACTAGCTCGGTATGGAATTGTTTCATCTTTTCATCCATTCGTGATATTTCTTCTTCGTCATGAGGACTACCTAACTGCTTCAATTCTTCTATGAGCACTTCCTTTGCATACTTCTCCCAATCAAGTTTGAATTTCGCCAAGGACTCTTCTACAACTTTCGTATTGAAACAATCTGTCAAGTACTGTTCAATGAGCCGATCGGGATTGGGAAACTTATCATGATTGATAACATCGATGAGTTCGCCCATGAATCTGGCAAGATCGATCGGGTGCATGAACATAGTAGCAGCTTTGCTTCCAGGTAATCGCTTGCCACCACTTTCTAAAAGAGCTCCGATTACAGCGTTGATCGATTCTAAAAACTCTTTTGATTCTACAGAATGCAGTAATCCCTTGACATCCAACGTTGGATTACTTTTCGTCAATGATCCTGGCAAAAAGTCAATATTGATCACATCTATATCGGGTAACATACGAGTGATATATTGATATTGTTCGTTGAGCTTTTCATTCTGAAGGTTGGCTAGATTGTTGCGCTCTTCATCGACACTGAATATTTTCTTAAGCCACTCTTCCTTTGAAATCTCGACTTCAACACCAGCTGCATTAGTCGTGACAAACTGGGGTAGATCTGCCGGCAATAACCACAAGTTCGGTAAGATATATGATGATTTCATGATTTCGAATCGGTGTAATGCATGATAGAGGCGGTCGCATTGAAACCGATCGACACGAGGAGGACGAAGAATGACAGCAAATGTTGTGCTGATAATCATACAAAAAAAGTACAAATTAGCACCTGTGTTCTCATCTAAATCGCCCATTCCTTCACAGTCAAGGATTAAAATTGAACCATTTTTTTCCTGATCAGGATGTCGAAGTGGCTCGCACCACATCCAAATACCATGTGTTACTCCGTTCGGATCCCCGCCACTTTGGAACCAGTGTAAATCTGAAGCGTGCGGTTCTTTTTCTAAAGCCGCTACAGTAATTGTTGCTAATTTACTTTTCCCAACACCCATATTACCTACATAAACAATAATGGAAATGGGTTCTTCGAAGTGTTCAGCAATAATCTGCTGTGCCTCTGGATTGATCTTCAACTGAGGTACAAATAGAGGATCATCCCGATCCTCCTTTGTCGGCGGGATACATTCAATAAGTCGTATGCATCCCTGTCTCCGATGATTCCAATCAGGTTGTTGTGCCATATCGTAGAATTTGTCTCGATGATCACGAGAGATTTTATGCCTACTAGAATGTATCTAGTGATGTTTTGCTAGATTGAATCTTGGCAAGAAATAATAGTGATTCTAGAAATTAAAGAATCATATTCACTATACAGTAAAAGCTTTCAGTGCAATCTCTAGGAGATTAAAATATCAGACACGATAGAGCCACTTAATTCTATATAAAGACACTTGCTATATTAATCAAAGTCTGTGACAAGATCGAATGAGTATCAATTTTGATATGTTTATTAAATCTTACGACGAGGATCACAACAGGACTTAGTAAGTGAAAAGATCTTTGGATTTCTGAATTTCAAATAAATTCATTGTATACAAGGCTATTTTAAGGCCGCCCACCTACCCTCCTCAAATTGATTTTCGCTACAGTACATGGAACTCCCATGAAACTTTTCACAAATGTTGAGCACCAGAGCCCAAAACAGAAAGAAGCCTTATCGAGCCTCTTTGTCTCGCCTCGTCTGGGACGAAGTGAGGCGAGGTAAGAGAAGGACGAGGCGAAGCGAAGCGAACTAGAGAAACATCGTTCGGTAAATTAAGACTGTCCATGAACCCGCTGTTCCAAATGAAACAGATCAGGTGTCGAGAAATATCTATAAACTGATCAGCCAGCGCGAAAGTGCACAAAAAATTGGAAGAGTGGAAATATGTTCGCATTCCTAGAGTGAAGTCTCTAGATGACATCGAAATCGATTTATAGTTCATCATAAATCCATGGTTCAAAAATTGATTCTTTTGCCAACAGACTTGTCTTTTTTCTCGCTATGTATAAATCTAGAACGTCCATAAAAACAAACTATTTCTGCTTTATATTAGAAGATAGAGAAATGCACTGGAGAAATCAACGTAGAAGAAACATATTCATAAGGCCTGGCCTGCACAACTGTCATTATAATGTATCAACACGTTGAAAACATCAATTGTTTTAATGATTTTCGAATACATTTTGCAATTTTTTTCGTGCAGTTTTCGGGTTGCATTTCAAGACCCTTGGCTGATTATTCTCATTTTGAACACGATTAAAATGCTCATGTTTTGGTAGGAATATGTATTACAGAGTTAAACTATTAATAAAGTTCACTAACACTGACAGCAACATTAGTAATAAAGCATCATTTTGTTCTAAATAGTTTTCAACTTCATTCAAACGAATCATTTCATAAATCATTCGGTTATATCTCGGTGACATCTTAATTGTATTTGAAGTGTGAGTCGATCAATAGAGCATTTAAAGATATTTAAAGAGGACTATCCCGAATATTCGCCCGAATTCTGCTATCTAATAATAGATCCATAAATCCATGCAATCAAATGAGTATGGTGAAATCGATTGACTATTTAAACTTAAGTTAAAAAACGGCTCAGCACATTGTTTGGAAAATCTAGCCAAACTTTTTACAGCAAAACCTAGGAACTCAACTAATCATTTATCCATCAAATAATTCGTACACGTGCTGTCCCCAGGTCACTATTTTCATCAACGAAAATGACATCACTATATAGAATAGCTAATTACTTAGTTCTGCTATTAATTTACTCATGTTTGATTACTTGAAAGCTAGACACACGAACATATCAACTATTATATCTGGCAAGATTAAGGTACTTTGTAACTCAGCGTAGGAATCTATGAGGACTGTTTCACGGATTTCCATGCTACCTGAAACTCGTTCAGACATGGTGTTTCGCCCGACTAGTTTCCTAATCATAGCAGACTTCTGCTAAATAATGTCCGTCTGAATACGTGATAATGTTATTTGGTTTGTCAATGGCTAAAACGGTTCAGGTAAAAGTATGAAGGTTTCTCACGGCTGATATCAGAAGACTGGCAGTCAGTCACATTTGCAATCATGTTTCTAGATGAGGCGAGACAAACTTTTACAATGTTGAAATGAGGCGAAGAGAGTCGAGGTGAACGTAGATTGAAGCGAAGCAAGCCGAAGCAGTAGAAGCTTGCCTCATTTCGGATCTTGTTGGGCACATTAAAGAAAAGTTATGACATTTTTTTCTAGTTCTCTAAAACTCAGCGTTCACGACTTTTCTAGATATCGAGACCTAAAATGGACCCTCTGACAGTACAAATTCTTTTTCACTACATATGAAAGAAGTGCATCAAGCACTATTTTATTTGAAGGAGAACTGTTTAGCCCTTAGGATGAGGGGAAGAGATTTTCCAAATTTTTTTCTGTTCCATTTAGGGACATTCAATAGAGGAAAACTCTCAAAATTCTACCCAAAAATTCCTGAAAAATTTTGTATTTCTCTAAGATCCCCAGGTGATTCAATCCGACCTGTAGATCCTACCGGAAACTATCGGATCCGATGTCGGATCACACCGGAATTCGTCGGGTTCCCAACTAAATCCGATCGGAACCCAACCGTATTTCACAGGATTCCTAACTAACGGATTCCGGACCGGATTACATCGGAAAGGATCCGATCGGATCCTGTCGGAACTGTTTGTCAGATAATGCCGTAACCACCAGGATCCATTCACAGAGAAACGCCTGATAACGTAAGGCTCCGACAGAATACAGTCGGATTTTATCAGAAGTTGGCTGAATCTGTTTCGATTGCACAAGGATTCAATCAACATTTCACACAGATTTCATTCTAGCATTCTCAAGATTTCCAAGGATTTCATCGAGATTTCTGAAGATTTCCCCAGGATTTCATCCAGATTTCTGAAGATTTCCCAAGGATTTCATCAAGATTTCTAAAGATTTCTCAAGGATTTCATCAAGATTTATAAAGATTTCTCAAGGATTTCGACGAGATTTCTGAAGATTTCACAAAGACTTCATCGAGATTTCTGAAGATTTCCCAAGGATTTCATCAAGATTTCTAAATGCTTGTCCAGGATTTCACCCAGATTTCTGAAGATTTCCTAAGGATTTCATCAAGATTTATAAAGATTTCTCAAGGATTTGGACGAAATTTCTGAAGATTTCACGAAGATTTCTCAAGGATTTCATCAAGAATTCTAAAGATTTTCCACAGATTGAATCGACATTGTGAACAGATTTCACCAGGATGTTATCAAAATTTCTAAAGATTGCATCATGATGTCATCAAGAGTCTAAAGGATGTCAACTGTTTCAACTGGGATTATTCCTAGAATCCAACAATGTATATACTACGATCCTTCTTAAAATTGAACAATGCTTGTACTAAGATTGTTCCTAATATATATAACTTAGTTATACAAAATGGCCGAATTCACTTGATATATGAAAGTAGAGAGTTCCTTATATAGATCTATACCTGTAAAACAAAACGGTGAATGAAATCTGGACAAAATTGGATTTCCAGATTTTTGATTTTGTTGTTGGAAATTTGTAAAAATAGGAATATCTAATAAATAAATTAATTAGCTGATTGATCTGTCAGAATATATTCTAATTCATGAGTCCAATTGCGCGGAAAACAGAATTGTAATAGGAAAACAAATCACTTGAAGTAAAATTAATCTGAGCAACACTTTGGAAATTCATTCAAAATATTAAAGTAAAGACTTCCTTATATAGATCGATATCTGTAAAACAAAACGGTGAATGAAATCTGGACGAAATCGGATTTCTAGATTTTTGATTTTGCTGTTGGAAATTTGTAAAAAGAGGAATATCTAATTAGTTGATTAGCTCATTGATCCGTCAGAATATAGTCTTATTCAAGAATCCAATTGCGTGGAAAACATAATTGTATAAGGGAAAAAAA